AGTGCTGTCACTTTAAGAGAATGCACTGATCCAGTGCACTGATACAGTACGTTCAGCCGGCTATGTCTGCTATGGGATACTTACCAAGACGGGCATTTTGACATAATTTTTGTGTGAATTTGTCCATTTAAACACAATACTTCAGAGAGAGCTTAATATCTGCGCGCGTTCTAAGGCTTCGGATGAGCGCACGCACAAATCTTCTCACTGCCTCTGGCTCTTAATGCACAACAAGAGACTTTGCGCATTGCGTTCATATTCTGCTGTTCTGTAGCCATAGATTTGCGGGTCTCGTCTTTTTCTTGCAGGACCCTGTAGGTTACAGTATTAAATTAGTTGTAATCATTAAATCACCACCACAGCGTCTTGTCTCCATTGGCAACACGCAGGATTTGTGTCGATTGCAAGTGACGTCGCAGGTAGCGGAGAGTGCAAGTGGCGATTGCAAATGACTTTGTAATTTCGTTTCTTTTTTTCTTGTCTTCACCACCTGGCTATACTGTTGTAAAATGTTGAGAGATTCAAACAAAAAGCAATCAATACATAGAACAAAATAAAAAATAAAAAAGACTGCAAGTGACGTCGCTAGCGGAAGTGCAAGTGCCTGAGAGTGCAAGCCTGAGAATGCACGTCTGAGAGTGCAAGCGCCAAGCTGCAGCCAGACCCTTCTCGAATAAATGACTGCTCACATTCCAGCATAAGGCATTCGTATTGAACAAGAGTGAATGGTTTGTCCACGTTTTTTTTATTGCAGTTGTTGTAATGTACTGGGAAACCAGAATGCGCATCCATCAACAGAAACATACATTAGCAGAACCCTATTTGTTTTACGTGTTATTTATGGCAAACCATATTACAGATGCGTTTTTAGATTTAAGTTGAACCGCTGTCCTAGCGCGTGCCGAACCGTGTGGAGAACCGTACGGTTTGATTTTTTTCCGCGAACCGTTCCACCCCTACTGAGTATATAACTATATAGTCCTTTTCATAAAGCAGTTAAACTAACAAAAGCAACGAAATGTATTGAGGCTACTTAAGGTGATGTTATTTAACTATTTACATAAATACAGCATGCAGCAGTGTTTTCAGCACCGCTTTTCAGTGATAATCTCCAGCAACACAGTAAAAGAAATTGTTTTACCTGAGTTATGAATGTGAGTTTGCCTTGTGAATCGAATATAAGAAGCACAATGTAATGCCAAAAATTGGCAAGAAAACATGTTTCATGTGTTATCTCACAATCACATTTTACTGCTAAACAAGCACATAGTGCAACAATAGTCTGGTTCATGAGCAAATGACTCTTCTGAGCTGTTTTTTTTTTCAGTGAATCATTTAAAAGACTCGTGAACTCGAGATACCAGTTTGAGGCAGTGTGATGAATTCTTCACTGAATGAACTAACTCAATCATCTGATCGGTGTGGAAGCCCTAGTTATGTTTACATCTCACCATTGTTTTTTTTTGTTTTCACCATGTAATAAGAAATAAAGTTTTTGTGACTTTTTAAAAAATCTTTATCTTCATTTTTTTTATCTTTATTTTCATCTTAATTATTTTTAGATTACTTTTGTCTTTAAATGAAGCAAGTCATTCCCACCATCCTAAGTATCATGTACAAATGCCATTTCAAACTGTTTTGAGAATGGGCATCTTTGCCTACAGATAGTCAGACGTTCAGTAGCTCTTTAGAGTGATTCAAACCAGTTTGAGTTTGTGAGTCTTTTGACTGATTCATTAAAAGACATTTGTTCATCAACTGGAATACACTGGTCGCACTGTATAATTTCAGCTTGTGTTATTGGCATGCTACATGCAAAAACAAAGACTGGGCCCAATCAAAATTATCCAGCAGCACCATGTTATTCCATCACATCTAATTAATGTCTAAGGCAAAATATAGTTTCTGTGGCGCTACAGATGCACATGCACTACACAGTGAATACAACTGATCACACTATTCTGTGAGTTTGCTTACATTACTGGCTTTACAGCTCTGCACACTGAAGTAATGACATATAATGTGGCATAAGATGAGTTTAGTCATGCTACACAGTAGTTGTTGGGAAAAAAACCCCTGCTACATCATTTTGAAAATAGCTGTGCTGTTACACTATTGAAAAATGTTATGTCAGTGATGTTCTGCTCACCAGTGCTGCATATTAACAGTTCAATAACTGAACATGTTTATTTCCATTTTTATCTCAGAAACTCAAACAGAAGAACCAGCAGCTGAAGATGATTATGGACCAACTCAGAAACCTCATCTGGGAGATCAACTCCATGCTGGCTGTCAGGAGCTGAAACACACACTCACAAACACACACACATATGCGTGTGCACAGTCATACACTGTTGTACATACACTGCATTCATGAGCTGTTTTCAGCGGGACACGTAAGACAGATGCAGGAAAGAGCAGCGAGGCACAACATTGAGAGAAGGTAGGAAGCGAAAAGAGGACTGGACTGAAAAAAATTCTGCTACATTCATAACACGCAGTTGAAATACCAATTCGGTTCAGCTGTCTTGGATTCAATTTTCAACCTGATGAACATTAGGAGGTCTGAGCAGTCTGCTCACTCACTCAGATATGCTTTAAAATGAACCTTTTACGCAAGTATACTCATATTTTGCATGAGCAATGGCTGCTATTTACGGTTAAACTATAGTATAGTTATGATTGAACTATAACTTACAGAAAAATATTGTATGAAACATATTGCATATTAGTGTGGTATTAATATATCTATTAAGTATAAACATATACCAATGCTTGTCTCGACTACTATTTAAAAAAAAAAAAAATCAAGAACAAATGGTCTGATTTTAATATTAGATATAAAAGCATCCTATTCAAAAAGAAAAAAATGCACAGCTGTCTACAGTAACCGCACAATCAATAGTGCTAAATGCCAGCATGTACGGTTCAATATACCCTACATTATTTGTAATCCCTAATCTGTAACCTCTAATCGGAAAAAAAACGTGCAAGTCATGTTGTTATAGCATCAAATATGACTTTATTCATTTTCTTATAAATCATTCATACAAAATTGGCATTTTGAAATTTCTTTATTACCTCTAAAAAAAAAGTCCTTTGTTAATTACTGGGATGAAGGGTCAGGACAGGAGGGAGCAAAACAAACAGCTCTGAACAAAAAGAACCCAAAACAAATCGGTATTTACTCATAGTCTAAAGTGGTCATGCAAGTCTGGTTAACAGCCTAACGTGAGAAATACAGTCGAGTGTTTAACAGATGCTGTGAAACTTTAGTGTCCGCAGATGACGCAACTTTATTTGAAAGATTTTGCCGCTTCTGTCCCACGTGACAGCGGGGGTCACAAACTCAACTCAGTTGAATCAAAAGGCACAATCAAGGAGAGATCAGTGATGTTTTTGAGCATGACTCCATATTGCTTATTGCTAATCACAGAACATAACGTAAGATAAGTCAGATGCAAATTTTACCAGTTAGCCTTGAGACAGGATGATCGCGACAGAATGAAAAAGTATAGAAACAATGCAAGAATCAGTTTGCTAGCGACAACATAATACAATTGCATGAGTTTAAATTTGCCAAGATTCTTTGGTGATCTTGCAAGTGTGTAGTGGTAGCAGCAGCATTCAACAGGCCAATTTCAAATGAATGGCTTTGTCACGTTAAGCTGGGTAATTAAAATAACGCTGGCGTCAATGCAAACACCTATCAGTGTGTCGTCTGCACACATGCTGTGCACTGACAAGGGCCTTGGGCAGCTCTGGATGATGCTGGGCATATCATGAGCCCTGATGACAGTGTTGGCGAGGGCATCGTGACAGGATGGGATGCACATATTAATCAAAACCGACATCTGATGCACACATCTACCTGCTAAAATCATCTTGGATGCATCATCCTATATATAATTGTGTAGATCCAGCTGTATGAACAAGGATCAAGTACATTGTATTTGAAGTGTACATAATTGGCTGATAAAATTGTGCGAGGCCAGACGTTAATTGTGTGATATGACATCATAATGACAATCATAGGTATAAATGATGGACATACATTTTTAAATTAGATGATTTGCTGAACTTAAAACTTAACCAGATGTGTGCCGTTTGTTAAAAAAAACAAAAACAAAAGGATGACGACAGACAACTAATTAACTAATGAACATTTTATGCAACTGTTAAGAGGGCAATTATAGTTGAAGCTTTCAGGGACTTTGAAATTAATTCACATACTTGTATAACAAGATTCAAGCAAGCACCTAAACGTTAATGTCAAGATGGACATTTTAAAATTTCATTCAGGCCAGTTCATTCGGATAATGACAGATGAATCACAGGAGCATTACTGCAAATTTCTCAGGCCTTTAACTCATGATTCAATGTCAAATAGCTTATTAAAATACAATGCACAACAATTGAAGTCTGAAACTCGGGTTCCTAAACATTCAGTGTCAGGTATGCATTTAAATTTCAGCGTGGGCTGACCATGATGGGGGATAAAAAAATATGTAGTGTACATCATGTCACAGCATCAACCGCATTCTGATGCATTATGTGCAGAAAACATGAAAAGGAAAAAAAAGGCTTTGGCTCACAGCTGGCACATTTTAAGTCCAGTCACCTTCACAAAAGGCCACTAAAGCACGGCACTCCAAGTCATCAGACATTCAAGTACCTGTGAGCGGAGACTGACAACATGCTCCACTCTAACTCTGGAAAACAGTGAAACAACACCCAAAGTCTTGAGAGCCGTTCCCTTGATATGAAATCAACAAAAATGGATGCACATTTTGATGGAATAGAAGCATACTTGCCACTTTCTAGGGGACATAAATTTGCCAGGTGTCCATTTGTGGCTGAGTGAGTTTTATATGCGTAGGAGTCGCATTTAAAATAGGAGGCCGAAGGGGAGAATTGAGGCAGTGTTCATTGAACTTTGACGGACAGCTCATTTTTCACAGGGACAGGGAAGATAGAGGAGGTGAGAGACGTCTCACTTAAATTACAGCCATAAGTCCTTACAATGCAACCTGTCATGCGCTGATGTCTATGAAAGTTTTCTCACCTAAACAGATGGTGTTACTGCACTAAAAGCTCGGCCTTTGTTTCCATGCTAATTTTTCTCTTGACTATGACAAACATTTTTTTCCAAGTCGGGCTGTTTAATAACGTGAGGATTTAGGGATTTCTAGTGCATTTTTTTAAATACACTTTAAGGTGGATTTGCATGAATTAATTAGGTAGGGAGGGTTTGACAAGCCACTTAAGGCAACTCATTAGTCTTGGCACCATTTTTGAAAATAAGAAATAAAATACTGCAGGGTGTATAAATGGTTTTTATGCCACTAATAAGAGGGACCACCGTTTTGAATGTAATGTTATGGCCCTTTTTTGCACACTGCAATATTTCTGCGTCTGTGAACTTTTCACCTTCACTGTCTACATCATAGCCTTGAATCACTTCCACTGAAACGAAATGATTATGAAGTCTTTTGAAAAGGAAAAAAACCCTAACACCTCAAACTTGGAAATAAAAGCATGGGCTCAATCGTACACAATCATGGCTCAAGACCTTGGAAAGAACTGATTCAGAGAAAGTGATGCTGACATCCGATGCAGGAGGATGGATGGATGGATCTCGATGTGGCGGGGTGAAGAAGTGCTAACACGATGATACGTCCCTCCTATCGTCCAACAACTCGCTCATGTGTTGGGAAAGATGAGTTTTTCTGTGGCATTTGTTACCAACCTTGAAACAAAACTAAATCTTCTGAAGAGTTAAAAGTGTGTCACGTGTGTCTGAAGGTCCAGAGGCCGTCACATCCTGCTGTCTTTGTCCTTTGCTTGTGTGCTGAAGGGAAAACTGAACCACTATGGTCCTCCTCAGCTCTGGTGAGTCTATTGCGGCCCCCTGTTGAATGTCCGTCAAGGGGCGCCAGTCTGGTCAGAGCCGCTCGATCTCCCTGTATTTCTTACGGAGGATGGAGACCTGGTCCTTAAACAGAATGGGGTCCAGTCTCATTTGGGAGTGGACCAGTGGCATGCCGCCAAACCAGCTGGCGAACTTGTTCATGCAGGTCTGACGCTGGGCAAAGTGGTCCGGGTCTGCCCAACGCGAGGCTCGAGATGACTAAGAGGAACAGATGCACAACGTTAGATGGCTTGCTCAAGCTCATGTAGGTTTAATTATCTACACTTACCTGACCCATCATGGTCTCCTTGTACTGCTTTTTTTGTGTGACCTTGATGGGCGGCAGCTTGGTGACAGCGGACACTAGGAAGTTCATGAGTACGTCCTCCCAGTTGGCCAGCTGGTCCACCATGCTCTTCAGGCTACTTGGCAGGAAGTTGGTATACAGGAAGTGGTAATATCTGGAGAAAAGGACAGAATGGAGGGCATGGACATAGTCAAGGACAGGTTGAGACAACCAAATCATAAATTCAAAAGCTCAGTGTTGGACTGGATAAGAGATATTGATTTTTTTTTCCGTTAACTGCAAAAAAAAACAATATCAGCCTTTTAATCAATAGGTTCTTTTTTTAAATACAATTTTCCTTAAATATATATTTAATGCCTGCTTGTCCTACAAATGTGTCCTTGCTGCAAGTTTCTAGCTTAGTACGGAAACTGCAAATCATGTTTTTCTGACAATTGAACAATTCTACATTTGTGGTGGCAGGTGGTGCCCATCAACTTTACAAAAATAATAATCTGAAAATCTTTATTTAAAATAAATATTATGCATGTTAAATTAAATACAATTACATAATAAAATAATTATATTGCCAAGAAAATAATTTTATATAAATACTTTTGTGATATTTTAAGAAAAATCATGTCCTCATCCTCATGTCTGTGGTGTTACCATGATAGAAACAGATCCTTATATTTGGACTACTTCCTGTTTAAGATCATGATTCGGTTTAATCTGAAGATTATTATAATCGTATTAATATTTACAAAATATCACCTAGTCTACTTATCGCAATGGTAATCTACATTTTAAAGATGTCTAGAATTATGAAAATTTGTGATGTTACTGCTGTTGATTTTGGACATAACCAGCATATTACCTAACTTTTAGTATGAATAATTCTAATGAATATCATTAAGCGTTTACTCGACCTATCATATGATCTATCATATACAGTCATTCTAATATGCTGATGTGACATTCAAAATTTCTTAACAATGATGAGAATAGTTAATATTGTTGTCGAAACTTTTTTTTTTTCATTCTTGGATGAATATAAATTTCAGAAGTACAGCATTTATTTTAAATAAAGTCTTTCTTTTCACTTTTAATCAATTTAATGCATCATTACTGAATAAAAATGTTCCTTTCTCGCAAAAAAATGACCCCAAATCATTGAATGGCAGTGTATATTCATCTTTAGGCAGTAGAAATACACCTTTGCAAATAAAATGTAACGGGAAGGCACTGCCCTAATTTCCTCCCAGTGAAGCAGCTGTTACCACATGCAGTACCTGTGGTAAATGGCAGCTCCGGTGAGAACCATGGAATAGTCATTGGTCCATTTGGATGTGTAACCCCAGCGCTCCTTATTATTGTCCCAGAAATGACTGCGGGCAGGATATCCCACGATTCTCTCAGGGAAACTCTGCCACACCGTGAAGGCAAAGTCCACCTGCAAGGCAACGTTTAGCTCAAGTTAGAAGCTACTCGCCAGACCAGTGGTATAACGAGTTCAAATGAAGGAATAAAGAATCGAGGATGGTGGCATGAAGCCTCTCTCATGACAAAATCCAGACAAAGATACACGCACACATACACAAACACGCTTTCAAAGCTGCAGGATGAGAAGATGCCCTCCTTTTTCGAAGATCAAAGCATTTAAACAAATAATTACTGAAACACATCAAAAGTGTCAGCGGCGGAGCCTCAGCTGGATCTCAAGTCAGCAGTGAATTGAACCACACACATACAGACACACACAAACAGACTAACTATATACACTGAAACCTTGGCGCAACCCCACCGGCAGTACATCCGCCTCACATGTAATGCCATAGTCTCCAGCTACACAAATGGGGTTATTTGGGAGGGGGAGTTCAAGAAAGAAAGAGTAATTGGAGTTTCCCTGCAGTGTGGTCAAGATAACACATGATTAAAGATCTCCATTTCAGGAAGAAAAGAGCAAGGCACAGGAGGGAAGACAGGTTTAGGAGGTTGACTTCAGCTGTGTGCGTTCACACTGACTCTGCTGCCTCTGATAAGGGATGGCCATTTCTCACTGGCGTTCACTGCAGAGTGCCACTAATGCAGGGGACAGAAAGAAGCCGAGACAGGGAGGAACCGAGGGCTGAAGAGGCCATGCTGAGCTGATTATGGGTGGTGGAAGCACGGTGGTTACCAAATCTGCACTGCCAGCTGAAAGGTTTGGGGTTTAATCCGAGAGCGGCTGAGGAGGGAGCGATCACAAGCCTGCTCAAACGATAAGGCGTCTTTCACTTTAAGGAGCTACAGGGTTATGGATCCGACATCTGCCCTATTGTTAGCTGCAATGGATGCTATTTTTAATATAGGGCCAGGAAAGGAGCAGTCTCGTTCCCTGAGGCACACTTATGATGTTATTCAAGTTGTTTTCCAACAAAAATTTCCACCATTTTTCATCTGTTTGATCCTTTCAGGGTATTCTGGCTACTGTACTGTACCCATATGTAAATGACCTCTGTTATGACTGGCTAAACTTTTATATATAAAATTATACACGTGACTGTCAACAAACAAAAATGTTTCAAAACAATATATATATAGGGGACAGTATATACAGTATACACACACATCTGTATTATGTATGTAGTATTTTTTAGATCTTATAGCTATTAGCTACAATTATTTTATTTTATATATTTTTATATATATAATATATAATTATTACATAATTAAATATATATATATATATACACACATACATAAAGTATATATATATATATATATATATATATAT